TATTCCATACTTTGTTGCTGTTTTCCAGTATTAAACAGGTCAACATTTTACACTGGAGTCATAAAAGTTAGTGAGATAGTTCTGATGAATAGCAATAAGCCAGAGTAAAAAATAATGCATAACATGAATTCCTGAGGAAATCAATTAATATTTTTATAAGCAGTAGTAAAAATATGATCAAGGGTTAGCAGAGAGTGAGGTCAGGCTATTTGATCCCCAAATATATTCTTTGTTGAGTTCCATCAATCAATGTAAAAATATTCTGTTCTGTGTCAAAACCGAAATCTCAGTGCCCCCAAGACTAAGACATTTTATATATCAGGATGTACAAAATTCTAGTTTGGCTGTGTAGCCTTTGACAGGGGACATAAACTGTAATTCCTGCAGTACTTTTAGGTTCCTAATTGACTTTTATGGATCCCTGAACTTAGTTCTGAATTACGTATTATGTGTGCAAGTAAAACACTGTATATTGTGAATTTCTTGGTGAGGTTCTTGTAAGCAATTCTAATACTGGGGTAAATGATGATTAATATTTGAAAATAAAAGTGCTAGTGTATCCATCCATCCATCCATCCATCCATCCATCCATCCATCCATCCATCCCCAATGAATGGTGAACTCCAAATACATGGAGTTACTGAGGACAATAATGTCAAAATTAAGGATGGGAATATAAAGGCATGAAACAAGTGTAACACTTCAACTTGAATCCTGGTACGTGGGACTTAAGCTCAAATAATTCTTTATAATGGTAATAAATTTGCTGGAACCATCCACATCTACCAGGCCTTTCTGAGATGGACTGACATTATCATTTAAATAGAAATCCTTGTCTTCATGTATGAGCTAATGTGCACTGCTCTCCAGGTAACAGTTAAGCCTAGTGATACAGCAGAGCACGGGATCCGGTAGTCTGATTTTCCAGTGGACAGTACTATATGTTTGAATAAGAGAGTCATAAATACAATCAAAGCACTTATTTTAAGAAGCCAAAGACAGTCAAAATACTGAAATCTGTTTCTTCAGATGGAAACCACATACAACAGGAATCATGGGTGTATGAAGGACCATCTAGGCATGTAGCGGTGAGCTGACTGACTGGAAGACAACACACGCAGCTGTGGCTCAGCTCTGAGAGTGGGCATCCATGGGCACATCACAATACACCTCTAAGGCCTAGTTTTCTAACATCAAGCATTTCTTGGATACCCAGATAATAAGAGTTGCACTTTTTGAATCTGTTCGTAGTTGAGAAAAAATTAAGCCCAAGTAGACTCACAGATATCTTACACTAAACTTGTAAACTACAACCTGAGAACCACTGAGGTTAGTGAGATCTAGAATGTCGTCACATCTGAGACTCTATGATTCTTCCATAGCTTTGTTATCAATGACTTTCCTTGAATATTGTGTAGGATGAGGTGCTTTCTACTTCCTGAGGCAGCCCATTTTGCTGTTGGTTGTCCATGGTATAAGGGCAAATGCTAAGCAGAGATTCATCGTTCTCTAACTTCTACTTATTGGGCCCTGTTCTCGCTGGACAACATGAACTAACCATGATTTCTACCACACAACAGCTTTCTATTGCCACCCTTAAGTCCAGAAAAGATTGGCAGCTTACAAGAATGAACAAATCATAGCAGAACTGTATACATCAGAAAAAAGGGAAGAGAAAGAAGGAAAAAAGTGAAGCTAGAAAATAAGTTTCAAAATCTGTTGTAATAATGGTCTATTTATATGTGATAGCTAGCACACAATTGTGGCTCTAGGTTACTGACGAGTCACCTTTCAGAGGGACACCTTATTAGTTGCACAATTTAAAATGTTCTCAAGGACAACATTCCTCAGGACAAGCCTAAGTGCTCCCATTGCAAAGATCAGCCTGGAAGAGCTACCATGTTATCTCATAGAAAAGTCCATTGGGATGTCCTGAACTGCACGCATCAAATTTCCTGTATAATGACCACAATGTAAATGAATGACATTTTGTCAAAGTACTAGGTAGGAGAAGCAATTCTTTGAAGGGTTAAAATACTGACGCCTCGATACCTAATTCCCTGCTATTGATCTAGCTTGATTCTAGAATATTTGAAGGAGAGGATCAAATGATTATCCTGAACAGAAGGATTTTTATTTTTTTTGAATACTGGGTTTTTTAAGCAAGCTTTTGATAAGCATTGATTAAACTTTTCATTAAACAGTAAATAAATCCACATTGTATGCCAGGTACTGTTCTAAACATTTTACATTTATAATCTCATTTCATTGTCATAATGGTCTTATATGGGGTTGCTATAATATACCCTATTTTAGAGATGAGGAGACTGAGGCACAGAAAGATTAAGACCACTAGTAGTTGATGGAGCCAGGATTTGAACTTAAGGCATCCAACCCAATCTCCTTTTTCACCACTATAGAATCCCAAAACCATGTTAGTTGGGTTAACAGTCTTTTGTGAAAGTTGAGGATTTGAAGGAAAAGGGCAATGATGAGGTCAATTTATCTCTGTTGAGAAGCCAAAGCAATGGGGATTGATATAAGCCTCAACAAGAGTATGGGGCCTGGGGCCAAAAGGCAGGGAGAGAAAGGAAAGCATCAAATTAAGCGAATACTTTAGAAAATCATTTCTCTATTCTTTCTCCAAGTTCTTCAAATGGTAAACTGTGGTGGGTCAGAATAGGTTCATGAATTCTTTAAGATGGAGCCTAACTACCTTCTCTTAGAGGGTGGGCTGGATCATGCAGGTCAGTTCTAACGAATGAAGTGAAGTGGAAGGGATGGTGTACATCCTTGGAGATCAGGTTATGCAGGCCTTGTGGCCCTCTCTTTGCTCTCTCTTAGATCATGTGCTCTATGTAAGTTAGCTACCATCCTTGGGACAAATACCCTAAGAAGAGGGCCATGTGATTTGGAACTGTGGCCTTCGGCCAAAAGCCAGTGAGGAACTGAGCTTTTTTTTTTTTTTGGCCTAAAATCATGTGAATGAGCCATTTTGGAAGTGGATCTTCCAGCCCCAGTCAAGCCTTCAGATAACTGAAGCAACCCGGCTTGACAGCGGCGTCATGAGAGACCCTGAGCCAGAGTCAGGGCCACTCAGCTAAGTTACCTATGGACTCCTGACACCCATTCTGTGGGATAATAAATGTTTATTAATTAAATGGTTAACATTTGGGGTGATTTGTTATGCAGTAATAGAGAAGTAACACAGAAACTGACGAGAACACCGTCGAAAACAACAAAAACGAACAAATGAAAATAAAATAAAACTCATCATTTAGAATTTCAAAAGGACAAAGAAACATCCTGAAGACCACTCTCCTCATTTAGGTAAGGTTTGCCCCCAAAGTCTTTAACCCAAAGGTATGAAAGTCATTCAATTCATTCCTAAAGTAATTTTCCAGGATTTGGAGCTTAAGTGTGTACATAACTTACTTACAATGTCACATTGAATGAAAAAAGGAAGACACAGCTGTTCAAAACTTAAAATTATATAAAACCCTCCAAGTTCTTTAAAGCAAGGTGAACAACGGAATGCAGAAGATGGGCCAAAGAAACTCTTCTTCTCATAAAGAAAGTTAAGACCTTAAAGTCCAGCTTTAGAGAATGGAACAACAGTGGGCAATTAGCAGGCAGAAGCATACAATTTAGTCATTAGTTAAAAACTACTGTAACTCATTTTAAAAGAAAACATTCCCCAGCATTCTGATCTCCCAGAGTTTGGCAGCTGGCTTAGGCCACACACAATCAGTGCAGATTATACAATACAACTTTAGTAAGCCTAAACAAGCTTCAGTAAACCTAAAGCTAGCAAACATGACTTGTGTTTCCATTCTAACGTAAGTCGTGATTATTAATCCATAGGCATTTTTTTCTGAGTAGGCATCACGGTATCTCATGGCTTTTCAACGTCCACTTCCTCTACTATGGCTCAGCCCAGGACTTTGCAGCCCCACAGATAGCTTCACTGAGGACAACAGACGCAAACTTAGGCAAAGGTGACTTACAGCTCTCAGCCAAAAATTAGGCCCTGGCAATAAGCCTTTGCCAACAACACTCCTTCTACAAAGCTCCTCATGAAGTTGCAATTTTAAAAGAAATGTTTTCCCATCAAAATTCAATAGCGTTTTATAGGCACATACACTTTCTTCCTTTTCTGGCCTGTGTGAAATCTAATATCAGGATTATTAGCCATTTGTCATTTCAACCTATAATTTAGCAAGCCTTTTTGTGTTTGAGTTATGCTTTCCTCACACCTTCCCTGTCAGCTTGCAGCCATACATTCATTCAAGAAGCTGTCTGGGTCATATTGGTTGACCTCTTAGAACAAAGAGTTTCCATGTTTCTTATTCTGCTTCCCTAAGAGGCACCATTAGTTCTGCTCATCTCTATTTAAAATGATTTTTATGACAGAATAACATTTCAAGTTTTCCATATTAATCTTCATTTTATTTCTTGAAATACTTAGGCAAATAATTCTGTTAAGACATCACTGATGGGAAATTCTCTTTCTCCTTTACTCTGTCTACTTAAAGCCAACTCTGAAAAATAATAAATTTTTTCTCTGAATCAGCTGAGCACTGGAAAAGAAAAAAGTCTGGTCTAGTAATTCACGACATCTTAGAGAAAACACTGTGACAAACAATTAAAGCAGAAACTCTTAATATGACCTTTTCCTCCCCATCGGTGAATATATATTCATATCTGGGATCCTAGATCAGAATTTAAAAGTTTCTTTTTTTTTTCTTTTTTAAAGATTTTATTTTTAAGTAATCTCTACACCCAATGTGGAGCTCGAATTCACAGCCCCGAGATCAAGAGTCTAATACTCTTCTGACGGAGCTAGCCAGGTACCCCTAAAGGTCTATTTTGTTATACGTCAGTTGAAAGATGTCTGAGTGCAAAGGGAAAATGAAAATAAAACAAATTTATAACCGTTGCCAATTTGCTAAAAACAAACACACACACAATGAACACCCAGAGGTGTAGGTGGTACTCACCCCACAGCCCAGACCGCTGCCCCCTTCACAAGTGACCTTCATCACGCCGGGCTCGGGAAGCAGCCCCGCTCCACAGCCGGGGCTGGGGCACAGCACACCCCCCATCTGTAGCACATACTCTTCAGCGCCATATTGCTGGTATCGGTTATACTGTAAAAAAACCAAAACCAAAACCAAAACTCAACATGAGTTTTTAAAAGTGATAATACTAAGATGTGCTGTTTTAGCCAAAATGTTAATAGTTCATGGTGTGTGGATTTTCTTGTTCATCTGTTCTAGTAAAAAAACCAAAGAGGATGGGGTGGGGTGGATGAGGTATAATCTAACATAAAGAAAACCTGCCCAATTGCAATTGGCAGAACAGGTAACTTCGTATTTCTAGGAAATTGGTCCTAAATTTTCCCCCCAAAGTTTGTTCTTTTAATATTACTACAATCAACTGCATTTAACAGTCTTATTTCATACGAATTTTAGGAACACAGCTATATTTTAAGTTATGGCATCATTATCAAGCTCATCAAGTAGTAATTTTCATGCCTCTCTTCAGGAGTCTATGGGCTTTTAAAACTATTTTGAAGATAGTCCTGATATTCCACCCTGTGCTAATTGTGGGCAGCCCACATGATATCTGAGCATATCTGAGCAATGCTGAGCATATTCAGCTAGATGAAGAAGAGATTCATGTTTTCCTTTCATCATTATTCTCTTTCTTAAAGCATGTTTCTTTTATCTCTGACTTCATTACGCCGTTGCGTGGCTCAACGCCCTCCGTTGTTTCCCCAGCCTGCAGAATAAAACTACACAGTGCAGTGTCCAGCATCTTCCTGTTACAGCCCTGTTATTGTTCACCTCGTGTTATTTGATCATATTCACTTCTAAAATCAGATCAAGTCAAGGGAATTTGCTCAACTGTGAATTAATTTATGCAACATTCGGTGACAGTCTACTGTGTAGGTGTCAGACCCGACCGTGGGCGATACAGCAGTGAACAAAACAGACACCTCTGCTCTCATCCACCTGCCCATAACAATAATGCTGAAAGGTTATATTTCAGTGGGAAGGAGAATAAAAACCAGAGAAGCAGCACATTTTGGAGACGATGGGGACTATAATTTTGAAGAGGTGATTAGGGGATAGGGGATGCCTTAATAAAGAAGGTACATGGAAGCAAACATCTAAGGGAGATTAGAAAAGCAAGCCATGTGGCTACCTGTGGGAATGGGCTTTTGGGTCAAGGACAGAGCGGTACCAAGATGCAGAAGCCAGAATGCTCTTGGTGCTCCAAGGTACAGCAGAGGCCAGTGTGGCTGAGTGACAGCAGACAGGGAAATGACATAAGATGCGTCAGGGAGCTCTTGGGGATCTGGGCTGTGTAGGTCCCTGAAGGCCACTAGGAGAACTCTGGCTGCCATTCTGAGAGATATGGGAACCATGGGAGACTTTGGAGCTGTGGGGTGACATCATTTGACTAATCTTTTAAAGACAGCCATCTGGCTGAAATATTCAGAATCGACTCTCGTGGGCAAGGACAGAAAGAGGAAGCAGAGGAGCAGGCAGGAAGGAGGTTTTCAGGGATCCACATGCGAGATGGCAGTGGCCTGAACCAGCAAAGTAGTGGTGGAGGTGGGGGATCAGCTGGATATATTTTGAAGGCAGAAATGACAAAATTTGTAGGCAGATCAGATACATGGCATGAGGAAAAAAAAAGGAGTCAAGCAGGAATGTAATGTTTTTGCCTGAGAAGACAGAAGGACACACATGCACACACACAGAAAGAGACAAAGAATGAATTACAGAGATGGGAAGACTTATAAGAAAGGGATGTGTCTGCATATGTGTGAGTGTGCATGAGCGTGTGTGTGTGTAGGTTGGGAGTTGGGAAAAGGAGTCATTATTTCTACTGTGCTCATCTTCAGTTTGATAAACTGCTACACAGCTAAGATGCTGAGTGGCTAATTGAATATATGAGTTTGGAGTTAGGGAGAAAGATGTGGGTTGTAGATACAAATTTTGAAATCATATGTGCATGGAAGGCTGGGAGGAAAAGGGTTAGCATCAGGCCTCTCATGCATTTTCTCATTTTTCTGGCCCCGGGAAAGAAAGAAAGACGACTTGGTCAAATCCTTTTGTAAACATGGTAATGGTACATCCATACAATGGTATTTACTAGAAAAGACTCCTTAACTATGGAATACATTAAGCAGGAAATGCTTCCATGATGAATGATTCCTCTAGTGATGGGGAATGATGAGACAGTTTATATAATTGAGAGATTTCATGTTAATGATCATTCCATGAACTTCTCTGAAACCTCATTTATTAAGTCTGGCCTAGAGTACACCCTAAGATGCTGAGAAACAACCCATACTTCTCTGTGCTTTGTGTGCACCTCATTATTACCCGTATCTTTGAAGCTATTAGTAAAGCTTGACACAAGGTTACATCTATGATTCCTGTGAGTCTGATTTGACAATCTGATTCTGTGTTATCTCAATAGTCATGAAGCTGGCTGAGACTATCTAACTTTTGTAAGGAAGATGAGAAGGAGCCAGGAAAGGGGACTGAGAAGCAGCAGCTTATGAGGCAGGTGGAAAATGAAAAGGATGTAGGTGTCCTGGAAGCCAAGGGAACAAAATTCTTCAAGGAGGGTGTCATGATAAATTGTCTCAAGAGCCGTACAGAAGGCAATTACTGAAAACTGGTTGGAGTTGGAAATGCATATGTCATTGTGATCTTGACAAGAGCCATTTCAGGGGAGTCATGGAGCCAAAAGCCTTAGTGGAGTTAAATGGAGTCAAGACAGAATTGGAGGAAAAGAATTCTAAGAGGTGAGAATGGGTCCTTCTTCGTGTAGGAGTTTGGCTGAAAAGGAGGGCAGGAGCATGGGCTAGCAGCTGAAGAGGGCAGTGGGACTATCAAGGATTTTTTGAAATTGGAGAAATAATATGCTTGTATGCTGAAGGGAATGAGTGAGAAGAGAGGAGAGAACTGATGATGTCAGCTAGGAAGTGAGCTCCGTCCTTGGGCAGGTGGAGGAGTGGGATAGCAAGGATGAGTAGAAGGTTTGGCTTGAGGAGGGAAGGCCGCCATCCTTAGCAAAGGAAGGAAGGCAAAGTATTTGGGCCCAGGTGCAGACAAAAGAGGTGTTGGAAATTTGAGAAGAGAAGGAAGATATCAATGATCAGGGGAGAGGGAACGGATGGAGGGAGCCAGCATTATTGCTAGGCAGCACTAACAACCCATTTGTAGGCAGAGATTATGAATTGGAAGGAAAACTAGTCAGCAGAATTTTACGTTTTTCTCCAATACCTGGCTGCAAAGTACAGAGTAGGCAGGAAGTTGGATTTAAGCCAGGTGGGAGTTTGGTCAGACTTACGTGAGAGAGCAAGACACTCCTCAGTCCCTCCCACCCCTATGTGCATCCCCTCATGCAACTGTGAATGAGTTCAGTAAATATCTATCGAACCCCTCTGAGGTGCTCAGCTCAGTGCTGTATCACTGGACTGTCCAACCTTCACGCCTTGGCCTACCCAAAATGGGTACAAAGTTTTAGTTTTGCAAGATGAGTAAGTTCTGGAGATCTAGTGTGTGCAATGGTAATAGAGTGAATAATACTATATTGTATACTTGAAATTTGCTCAGAGGGTAGGTATTTCAGAACTATAAGGCTTTTCTTAACATTTGCTATTTTACATCTGTATCTCCTTTCTTCTACACTGGTTCTTAAGAACACAGAGGATGACGGAAGAGAAAACAATATTCCACAATAGCTCATTTGCTTGATCTCATACATATACAAGGATATTAGAATAACAATACCAATATCACTATGAATATGATTACTAAAAACCTCACATTATCTTTACATGCTATACCATTTCTTCTGCCAAATTTTTATAATAATTATACTGTATCTGTATTGTTGAAACATATGGCCATTCCATACTATGCTTTCTTTTTCTTAATTTTCATGTTATCTCGGGTCTAAACACCCCCCCCCCCACACACACACCCACCCCTCATGTTCACCACCAGTCCTTATGTTGATGTCTCTCCAGTAATTTTGGTTGTTAGAAGGATATTCTCCAGTAAATTCCTCAGAAGGAGTGCATGGGAAAGACATTCACTGAGGTCTTATGTATGGGTAACCATTCTTTTGGGGCCTTTATTCTTGAAAATGAATTTGACTGGATATAAAGTTCTTGGCTCACAGTTTTTCCTCCTTGAGCATCTTTACTGTCTTATTCCATGTGTTTCTGGTATAAGGCATTACAAGCTTGATACAATTTTCTTTTTTTTTCCTTTACACATCGAATTGATAATCTTTTTGCCCAGATGCCCAGAGGATTTTTTTTTTTTCTTTAGAATCTGGTAGTTTGTTAGAATATACCTTGGTGCTGGTCATTTTTGATCAATTTTCACGATTCAAGGAAGATGTATTGAATTTAATTTTCAGTGTTTGCTCTATTTTCTTTCTTCGATGTGTTTCTTACAGGATTTCTAGTATACATATATTGGATCTTCTTTACTCACCTTCTCCATCAGTCAACTTTTCTGGAATCTCATCTCACTTTACTTCCATGTTTTAGAAGTTTCTTCCTTTTCACTTCCTATTTCTCTTAAGACAATATCTGTTATTTATGTGTATTTGTATAATTTCTTAATCATTTGGTTCCTTTTGAAATAGTTACTCTAGTTTCCACCTGACTGACATACTTTTCTTGTGTCTCAGGACATCATTCTGCTCTTCATTCTCTGTAACTCTTCAAAACTTTGTATGGAATTTAACTTTGCTTCTTGCTGTTGCAGTTTTACATGAAATCAGTTCTGCAACTTTAGAAACAAGTAGGATCCAGCATAGCTCTTCGTGGTTCTAGAGCTTCCTCTTCTCGTTGGTGGAACTCACTTTCTATGAGCTTCCAGCTTCGTTACCCACTTTTAACTGGATTTCCTCTTCCCTTGTCCCCTTTTCTATTCCAAGCACATTTCTGCTCAGTGTGAGGCCTTGTCTTGAAAGAGATCTTTGGCTGGTTAAGTTTTGTGAGTCCAGGAGTATCCAGTCCCTTCAGACCTTACTGTAGACCCTTTGCACTACCCCCCAATCCTTTTTTGTATTTGTATCTCCTGAATTTGCTATAGTATCTTGTCCA